TCCCGAGCGCACATGTAACGCTTGAGTCTTCTGTCACGTCAGCATGCCACCTTATGGGCAACTGACTTGTATCATTGAGAGGTCCAACCTCACTGCAACACTTCAAAAGATGCTTTGGCCAAAGTTATGACATAATAATAATCCCTGCTGGTAGCTCTCTCTCTCTCTCTCTCTCTCTCTCTCTCTCTCTCTCTCTCTCTCTCTCTCTCTCTCTCTCTCTCTCTCTCTCTNCTCTCTCTCTCTCTCTCTCTCTCTCTCTCTCTCTCTCTCTCTCTCTCTCTCTCTCTCTCTCTCTCTCTCTCTCTCTCTCTCTCTCTCCCCCCTGCACGGAGCAGGAGAAAAACGCGTCAGAAAATTGAAAAGTCAAGAAGGCCTTGGGGCCACTTCCTTGACAGAGTCTGTCTGACCATGCGTGTGGAGTCAGAAACTTGCAGGAAAGTGCTAGTGTAAGTACGACTTTTGCCAGTTAAATTAGGTAGTGTGCTTGGTGACCAGTTTCTGTACAAAGGGCGTACACATCTTTCACATGATCTACTACAGTATTTTAGCCTTTACGTTGCGAAGTGTTATTTTTGCTATCAATGCGCGCACACGCGCGCACACACACACACACACACACACACACACACACACACACACACACACACACACACACACACACACACGCATACACACATAATAACAGTCTGAATATTTTATTTTTATTGTTAATAAAAAATAAAAAAATAAAAGTTAAAAATTAAAAATCAAAAACTAAATTAAAAATTAAAAAATAATAATAATAAAAAATAGTAATAATATTAGAAATATAAAATATATAAATAATTAGGGTAACTGACATTCGGGACAGGCTGAATGCTCAAACCCGAACGCTCGAACGTGTGGGACCCCTTGAGGATGCGTTCGGCCGTTCAGGCCGAACGCAGAACAAAAAATAAAAATAAAAAAATCTAAAATAAATTTGAAAAAAAAAAAGTTATGGAAAAAAAAAAAAACATTTACTCGAGCATTACATCCAAATTTTTTACCAAATTTGAAATAAAATTTAAAAATAGAAAATAAAACTAATAAAAAGAAAGAAAAAATAAAAAGTGAATTATTATTATTATTTTTTTAACATGAGGCAACATGTCTTGTTCATATTTAAGAATTTAAGAAATATGAATTTCTTATAAATAACCTTTGACATCCACATAAATAACAATAACTTGCTTTTCAATTGAGATTTGATTATTTTGTGGTTGTTTTAATACTTTTTTTATTCTCGCGCCATCGTTTAATAAATACTGAGTGGCAACATCAAGATGTGAACCAAATTGAGCAAAAGCGGCGACTTCATGATATTATGCAAGTTATAGCTTAACACTACCGCACACTCGTTTCATAGTTTTCAATTGAGTTGCAGAACCTACATTAAGGCATATGCTCTCAAATTTAAACTTCACTTACGGGCTAGTAAGGTTTTTGCTATAGCATGCAAAAACCTAAAGATACCACGTATTGGTTGATAACCAGGTTCCGAAATCCAGACTCTTAGCTTGCTCTTTTGGACCACATTTCGTCGTATAGGCTCGCTTGAGTAGAAACGTCCGGCCAGAGTGGTTGAACACACTCGAAAAGACTTACCAAAGTCTATACGATACCTACACGGGAACATATTTTTGCCAAGTCACATATTTAAATGCTTTCTCTTATCTTTCTTTTATTTTAATAGGTCGTACGTGAGACCATATAAATAAGAGATAAAAGAATAAACACATAATTTAGTCACGGCGAGCCCAACCTTCAAAAAAAAAAACAAATGGTTGGACCATGCAGGGGATGAGAATACCCCTCTTAAAATCAATCAAAGAAATACGTTACTGTTCCATCTACGCAGCGGACGAGACTCACCCATAAGACGCAAATTAAATAAATATGCAGTCGAACTATTCAATCATGGGATGAGAACGACTCTTCAAAATAGCAAATCAAACATGTAGTCAACCCATTTGCGTAGGAAACGGGAACGAACCTTTTAAAAAATTAAAGAAGATAAACGACTTAATCATCCACATAGGGGATGAGGACAACCACTGAAAAGTCAAGTTCGTTCATATAAGTAGCTCATATAGTTATAATTTTGACTAAGTTCAAATCCACCAAATTTTTATGGACTAAGTTCCCATCCACCGATATGGGGTTGGTTCGGTGGATGGGCTAATGTACTTGGCACAATGGTTGTTCTTAGGGGACAACCCTAACTCTCAACCCACATCTTAGTGTGGTGCTTTGCTTCGAACCGACTGAGCTTGTAGGTCAGTTAATCTTTGGCTAGGAGTAATTTTGGTTTCCTTTGTTTTTAGGGAAGGAATATTTGTTTTTCCAGGAATGCTGTTGGCTTTTGGTAGGACTAAGATGGTAAGTGTTTGAATTCTTCGAGATTATTATGATAAAGGGTCGCTGGACCTGGTTTACCCAGTATTTTCCAAGTTGTTTGTGAGGAATTCCTGCCCTCAACCTTTCAAATTTGCAATGAAATGCTACAGGGTCTGGCCACACCAATATCGAAACATGAGTTTTCGACGTTTTATCTTCGCCACACGGACTGCCGAAGAAAAAATGTTGAAACCACTTCAACATTTGTCAGAAAAATGGTTTCGAATCAGTGTGAAAGCTCCGGCTTGCGGCGACATGTTTTTCGACATCAGCTGTTTCAGCTAGTGGAAGGTGTGCCGATTTCGATATGTGTCACGATTGCTGTGCTAACACAGGTTTAACATTGGTTTCTTGTGTTTCGACAACCATTGTTGGAAAACGCCGCCATTCACACATTTCAACTTTTTTTTTTTTTTTTTTTTTTTGGTTGCACATAATTGGAACACCTGCCCTCAATACATACATTCATTTCCAATTTGACATTTGTGGCCTTGGCCACACAGCATGTCGAACCATCGCCAATTGTTCGGCGGCCTTGATATTACAAGTCTTCGACTCCAGCTGTGTGGCGAAGGCAGCATTTTTGTCAAAACCACCAATGTCGAAACTGGTCTGACAGGTGTCGAAAACTCCCCGGTTTCGACACTGGTGGCGAGGTCCACAATCTTGCATTAAAAAAAAAAAAAAAAAAATCTATTTTCACGGGTTTCGAGAAATGGTGTGGCCTAGCTGAGTTGGTACACCCCTGAACTGTTGAAATACAGACCTGAGTTCAAACTCCACTGAAAGTAGACGAGTGAGATACTACAATTCTTAATTACCTAGGGCCTGTCAGCTCGATGATGATATCCTTTTTTTTAATTTTTTTAATTTGCTTTTAGGGTATTATCATAGGACTAACCAGCTCATGTAAATTCAATCATGTGTCTAATCTGACACGGGGTAGCCTTATTGCCATCAGGACCCCCAGTGGGCGACACCGGCCAGGGGACAGCTGGTAGCAGAGGGACGGAGCATCGGATTGGTACACCCCTGAACTCTTGAAATACAGAGCAGAGTTCAAGCGCCACTGGAAGCAGAGGAGTGAAATTCTACAATTCTGAAATTACCTAGGGCCGGTCAGTTCTATGAAAGCAATTCGAGGACGTCACCCTTTCCTTATATTAAGAGGCCCAGCGGCCTTAGCTCATTTAGTAAGGCACTCAAGTGGCATTCAGGAGGTCATGGGCTCGATCCCCGTTGGCCTCATGTACCTTCCTGGGCATGCTTGGCACCTGCCACCTAGCAGTCTGGGGTAATCAGGGAGGCACAGCCACTGGGCACTCAGATGAATTTCGATGGTGTGGCGAGGCCCCTACTACCACCACGAAACTACACAAAAGTAAGCTGACTCGAATATGCTTAGGGAGCATAATAACTACAGGGAGCTTTACGTGTCGAAGGCAAACGGCGGGGGCGAGGCGGTAACGAACGGCCTCCTTCGCGCCATCGCGCTGGTGCTGTGAGGTAAGTCGACGGGGCGGAACACTGATAGAAGTCTGCTCCGAAAAAAAGGAAAATTGAAGTCTGCTGCTAAATTTGGCGTATAGAGTAGGTATGCGTTTGCTCAAGTTGTTGTGGGAACTGAAGTTGGGACCACGCGAATGATCTTTCAGGGAGCACGCGCGCTAGTTGGTGAAACGCGCCCGCTGTACGAGGTGGTGACTTGTAGGGCATCCCCACACTACTGTCAAAATGTGAAAACGACAAAAATGTGTCGGGTCCATCTGGCCATCTTGTAGAAGTAATGTTGCCCAACCAATTCAAATACCTACCGAATGTGGACAGGACGGCCTTTCAGGCCTTTATTATTGTCATTATAGTTATACGGGGAACCCCGTGGCAGCCAGATCCGTGCTCCAAGCCTCCAACGAGGGAACATGCGGGAGCTGCACCCACCAGCAGGTGCGATACCTGCTACAGCAGGTGGGATATACCGGCCAGGGGTCAGGCGGTAGCATCAGGACCGGGCTTCTTCGATGGGCCAGTCACCGTGCCTTCCTCCGGTCCCCTTCCCCTATGAACATCAGCAGTCTCTGCTCAATGGCACTCGGGGGGACCAACGGCATATCTCTAGGTGGCGGGCGCCCAGCTTGCCCAGGAAGGTACATGAGTGGATGGGGATTGAACCCAAGACCTCCTGGATGCCACTTCCGTGCCTTACCAACTGAACTAGGCCGCCGGAGAGTGGTGTGGAGACGATGCCCGTATGCACAGGGAACAAAAAACTTTCCCGCGACAGATTGGCACCCCACCAGCTAGCGCTACCGGTAGTTGGCGTGCGCCTGAATCTTGCATAACCTGCCCGGCCCGCCTATTGTTGCCACGTGCCTGCGCCAATCGTAGGCTCCTAAGGGCGGGACGATCGGAAAAATGCTCGAAACCAATCGCGCATAACCACCAACCGCCAATTTCTTCATTGCCGCGCCCGCCGTGGCCGCCGTGCCCGAGCAGCAAGGCGCCCCGACGCGCGTCTCTGTCCGACTCTCGCGTGGATCTCGTTCCCCTCGAGTTCCCCCGCCGGTGCCCCCTCTTGTCTCGCGTTAGGACCTCCGGCCCTTTTCTGCTTTCTCCTCTGCCCCGACCCCACCAGCAGGGATCATCTCTTCCGCCCTCCCGCTCTCCTCGTCACTGCCAACTGTTCTGAATCGTCGGGGAATCTAGACTGTCCGTCTCTCGCTTGCCACGTAGACAAGCATTGGCGCCCAGTACATTCCTGGCGGCCAATTACGTTGTCCACGTCGTTGGCTGACGGAGCAGGGCGCACTTCGCGTGCCGCCTTTCGCCTCACCGCCTCGTCGGCGCGCTGCGAGGCCGCGAGGCGTGCCAAATTCAGCGCCGCGGCAACCACGCCAAATCAAATCTGTTGACGATCGCGAAATTGATCTCGCCGGTCCTGTCTCTAAAGAAGGCAAAAACTTCGGCGGGAAGAGTTCGACAAGTCTTCTCTCTCTTTCTCTCTCTGTCTCTCGCACGCGGACACAGACAGACACACACACACACACACACGCAAATAAACACGCCGGTGCATACCTGTCTTTATCTGTGCAGCCAATCTGGCGGAGAAGGTGCTGGAGTGAAGAGGAGGAAACGAAGGAAAGCGCTGACCTGCGGGACCACGTACCAATTTGTACAGCAGTCTTTGAACGGGAGGGACATAACCTTTGTTCGTTCTAAGAAGTCTGTGTTATCTCCTTGTGATGCGTGCAGTCGATAGGACAGGGAAGAGGCCTACAGGCGTGGGGAGGGAGGAGGGAAACAGAGGACAGGAGCTGCTGCTCTCTCCTCGCCGTCGTGGCGCAAGAACGCCATGTGATTCAAAGTAAGCTGGCATTGTGGGCAGTGGCATGCTGCTGGCTGTGTCAACAGGAGGAACAAGATTTTGATAGCGGTGCTACCGTTTCTCCTTCGGCAATACCAACCGATACCAACGGCAGTAGCATCTTCCTCAGGACGGGGAAAGGAATAACCAGCAGAAGGACATTCCTGTTCATTGGTACATCCCATCAAAGACAACCGGGTAGCAGGAGTCAGGAGTTCGAGCATCGGAAACAGCCATGAGTGCCATTGCTGGAGTGGAGTTTGATCACCTCTTCAAGCTGCTTCTAATTGGTGATTCTGGAGTCGGGAAGAGTAGTCTGCTACTGCGTTTCACGACTAATACGTTCGATGATCTCTCGCCGACGATTGGTACGTAATGCTCTTCTTCTTCTTCTTCTTCTTCTTCTTCTTCTTGGCCGCGAGGCTGGCTCGTTGTAAGCTCCTCCTGAAGACGACCAGGAGGAGCGCACCTGATCGAAACTCGGAGGAGAATGTGCATTACGTTTGCGGAGAGTGGTACGTGCGAGATGTAATGATCAATTTGGAAGCGTGTGCGAAGGGGACAGCTTCGGCCACTGCTTATCACTATACTTCTTCTTCTTCTTCTTCTTCTTCTTCTTCTTCTTCTTCTTCTTCTTTTGGTGGGTGCCGTAAGGCGGTTTAGGGAGAAGGCCCCTGATGAGTGCCAGGTGCACGTGCGTAGGGCAATGAGCGCGTTTCTTCTGAGCGGAGTGCATGCGGATGTACATGGAATTTTCTGACGAAGCGTGCACGAAGGACAGTCTATGGCCTCTGTTTATCACTGTTCTTCTTCTTCTGCTTCTTTCTGCTGCTGTTGCTTGCAGATCAGATAATGATGGTAATCGTTTGTTCCTCCTCATCTAGTCCCACTCAACCCGCCTATCTCCTGATTCTGCCTTTATCACCTTTTCTTCTTCCGATCCATCTTTCCCTTCTACTCTTTTCGGGATTCCCCATCAGCCTCCCCTTGTCCTCTCGCGTGCCGTATAACTCGGGGCATCCTCATGCGAGGACTTTTCCCAACTGAACCTCGGTTCGATTACGCTCAAGCGCGCACCAGGAAAGTCCTGGCGTGAGCTTGATCTGAAGTCCTGGTGCGAGCTTGTTCTTTGAGGTGGAAATTAAATGTAATGATTTTTGCATTGGCCCCTTTCGTCGTCGTAGTCTTCAGCATCTTCGTCTATGTCTGTACTCCTGCTTTCCTCATCTCCATCGCATACGATTTCATGTCCATCCCGCTGTCAGATCAGTTTTACTTCCTTCTTTCTGTCTGAACCCTCTCTCATTCTCTCTCTCTCTCTCCCCTATTCTCTGCCGCTCTTGTTGTTTGTCTGTCTGTCTATCTGTCTGTTTCTCTGTCTATCTGTCTGTCTGTCTTCCTCTGTCCCTCTCTCCTCCTCTCGCTGTTTTCGGTTGAGCACTCGTCTCGCGCCTTTCGGAAACCTTGCCCCATTCTCCTCTGCTCTTTGCGAGTTCCTTTCTCAGTCCTTTCCTCGATCTCTCAGGTCTTTGTCTCTGTCCGCGTGTCCCCATGTCTTTCGCATTCTCCGTCCCTGCTGTTTAAAATCTCTGCTATCAGGTCGCGGTAGACTCTCTCTACTCCTGTTTATCGCCAGTTTACGACCTTGTGCCTGCGCACGGATCGATACACTTTGCGTACACACTCATGCAGCTGTATTCGCGTCGGACAGAAAGTAAATTCCTGAGCTTCAGCTATCGACCACCTTCGTGTGAGAGAGAGAGAGAGAGAGAGAGAGAGAGAGAGAGAGAGAGAGAGAGAGAGAG